AAAATTTAATGGCACTTCTTTGCTCAGCAAAATCAGACATTGTAAAAATCGCCAAAATCACTTTTAGTCGTTTAGAAAACACAAGCGTAACTATATGACTAATGATGACATTGACATGAAATTTGCCACAGATGTCACTAACAGTAGTACCAACATAAAAATAAAAAAGTTTGCTCTTATCGATTGGCGCGGGAAGTTTAAATTAAAAATTCACCTTACTTTTTGATCACAGTAGTATATTTTAATACTGTACGCATGAAACATCTTTTTGACAAACTTTATCTAGGCTACGTTTGGAAACATCATCCGAGTGCCCTCATGTATCGTTTTATCCTTGCTGTCCAATGAAAGAATAATATAAAACACAGGAGCATCCAGATGATGTTTTCAAACGCAGCCTGGATAAAGTTTGTCAAAAAGAGATTTTACGCAATCCTAAAGACGTTGAAGCCCTATTGAGATATATCACAGTTATATACTAACATTCAGTGTTCTTGGATCGAAGCAGCAGTTCCCATACGATTGCAATGGTCAAGCATCGTTGAATGGATGACCGCTTAGAAAAATATGGAAATTAATTCCCAAATAAGCGTTTTTTTAATTATAATTTGTCGTGTGTATTTCGGCAAATGTTGCAAATTAATAATATTATTTTAGGAATAAAATAGATTTAATTAATTATAAATAGATTTAATTAATTATATAATAAAGCCATTTATTTTGATGGTTTTCTTTGGACGATAACCTTTAATTGGATGTAACTTTCAGTTGACGATCCGAAATTACATCCAAATTTAAGCGTTTTTTTAAATGTTTAACACCCAAATTTGAGCGTTCTTTTTGAATGTTTAACGCCCAAAATTAAAGGTAAGGGCTATTGGTTACTAATTAGGTGCAAGGAAAGGAACAAGATAGTTTAACTGGTTTGGATTCCTTCTCATTGTGACATTACTGGTAATAAGAGAGCGGGCGACCTGGCTAAACGGGCTGCTTGTGAGGGAATTCTTTTAGACCGAGCTCTTTCTTACTCTAATATTGTTATTAAATTCAGGGTCCAAGGAGCGGTAAAGAATAATAATGCCTTAAATATAAGAGCAATGGAAGGCAATAAGGGCTTATTTTCGTTTCAGTATTTTAAAAGTCCGTCAACAAAACCATGGTTTTATTTACTTGGCTTAGATAGGAAGATTATTGTCTCGATTATTCGGATACGCAGTGGGCATTTTGGTCACTTAAAAATAGTCTGTTTAAATATAAGATGATTAATAATGATATCTGTTCTTGTGGCCAAGACTTGGAAGACTTGAAACATGTTTTCTGGCACTATAGTAAATACGATAAAGAACGCAAAAACATGGTTAAGGAATTTAACAAAAAAAGAATAAAAACTCCGTTCGATGTTCAAGCGGTATTTAAAAATTTGAAATTGGACCTGCGATCGCTTTTATTAATAGCATTAAGATTCAAATATAATATTTAAGCAGTTGTTTTTAATTAGTAGTTAGTAATAGTTAGTAAGACCCCATGTACAAGAAGGATTTAATATTCATACAATTATGTATAGGTTGTGATGTAACGTTTTCCGTCCGTCACAAGGGTCGCACGACCCGACCGAATAGTGCAGTCTAGCGTCCTGAGTCCTTCCACATTTTAGGGGGCGGACGCATCTGCGCTTTTTCGCGACAGTACACTT